TGACTAATCTCTTGTATAAACTGACCACCTGTCTACACTGACCAACCTTTTGAATACACTGTCCACTACTTATACATTAACCACCTGTCTATACTGACCAATCTTTTGTATATACAATCACCTCTTGTCTACTGACTAATCTCTTGTATAAACTGACCACCTGTCTACACTGACCAACCTTTTGAATACACTGTCCACTACTTATACATTAACCACCTGTCTATACTGACCAATCTTTTGTATATACAATCACCTCTTGTCTACTGACTAATCTCTTGTATAAACTGACCACCTGTCTACACTGACCAACCTTTTGAATACACTGTCCACTACTTATACATTAACCACCTGTCTATACTGACCAATATTTAGTCTACATATACCACATGTTTGTTGTAATTTATCAGTCTGTACACACTGACCACTTGTCTATTTTAAGTCAATTATTTATTGATATTGCCAAATCCTCTAGAGATATAAAGCACTCCTTTAACTATATAATTTTACATTGTTGTGACAACACAGGATGATCTGGGCATCATCCATTAATCGTTACTACCTTACAGAATTAAACAGTATGAATGGCATGGTAATGACGTATTGTTGTCATGATGACACTCTACACAATGCACTGATCTGACCCCAGAATTGTGGCCTAGATATGAATAAGGGATCAATGCTTGCCCCATGGCAGGGTGTCTTGTCAGAATTGTCCCCAGGATTTGTACTGGGGTACCTGAGGGTTCTATTTACAGAACCTCACAAGGCCATCCCAAGAGCTGTGTAATATAACTCACCCAGATTTCAGGAATGTCTATTGTTCTCAATTTGTCCAGGAAATTTTTCAGAAAAATTTGCATAAATCTTGTAGGTTTTTCATGATCATTACTTCAATGGCTACAAATCAAATCATTATATTTTTCTAAGTCCATAATGTAAACAGATATACATTTGAACTTTATTTTACAACAATTGTGTAACAAGCTAAAAACTTACATCAATCATACTTGTTGGTCCGAAGGGAGATACATGATGGGGCCATACTGTGGAAGGAAACTAGAGAACTCCAGGAAAACCTACTATACTGATAGCCCCATACATTTTCACATCAGAATCACATCCTAGTCACCTACGTGAAAGGGCAATGTGTTAACACTGTACCAGTGGTAATGACCCATTGGAAAAACCAAAATGGACAAAAAGTTTTTATGAAAAACCAAGACTGATACTTGTGGGCTGGCTAAACTGCGAAAGAAATAAGAGTAAGCTACGAGGATCATCGACAAAATGTGTTATGTAAATAAATAACGTACATAACCTGTTATGATAACTAGGTCAATAAACGCGGTACTAATCAAGATCATTTTACCTGTTGAAAAAAGTTTACAAGCATTATTAACAGAGTAATATGATAACAATATTTTCCTTATTTGATTTGAAGCAGAAAAAACTGGAAAGCAATATCATTCTTTTTTTCATAAAAAATTTAATTAAAAAAAAAATAAAAAATGGCAAGAATTTTTCTTGCATTTAAAACTTAAAAATCAATTTAAATTGAAATGACTGGAGATCATAGTGATTTAAAAATTTGAATTGCATTTGTTAAATTTCCAGATTATTAAATGATATTGACTACACATTGAAGAATGTATCCTGGTGGAGACTGTCTAACAACTAACTGCCATTATGGAATTGTCAGAATATTTGTAGGTGCTGTCTGCCATTGTAATGGTAGTTGTCATGATTTCTCCATATCAGAACAATCAACCTTGAACATTTTTTGTCATTTCAAGGGAAACCGGTGCACGTTGATGTAAATCTAAACTTTGATTTCAATAAGGTAATTGAAACGTTGCTCTTTATGGTATTAAAGAATACAATTGTCAGAGAATAGACAGGACATAGACATTGTGTTGATTGTTTGAGCCTTCGGAGGGAGTGGAAACGGGTCGTTATGTAACTGGATCGGTGAGAGTTAGGTGCCGTAGGTGGCAGATCTATATCACTAAAGATCTTCTCTTGAAGAATAAGTATTAAATGGCGAACAATTAGAGTGTTACTATAGCTGAGTATTGTTGGACAAGAGTTAGTCTATCCAAGTGACAGAGCATTACACCACACTAGTAGAAATAAGGACTCCGATTCCATACATGTACTCCAATCCATTGTTGACCGGGGTCGTCACAAGTACTTTGGAAATTCTACCCTCGGAATTGGGAACTATTTACAGTATGATTGTAATAAGTTTCAGATAAAAAAGTATAATTGTAGGGGCTCTTTACATCAGCATTTTACTCCCGAGGGTTTTCAGATTTCGTTCATTGGTCTTCAATATCTAGAAAATGAAGAGTTAAATATCACAGGCTATTTCTTGTCTTCAAAAATGCAGGTTGTATAGGGGAGCGTTGATTAATGTAATAGACTGGTAAGATGGTTAATTCACTATGTATCCTTACGTTGTTTATGTATGTCTCGATCACCTGACTCTTCAGACGGAGGACGTCTGCCTGCACTGATTCTATCAGTACACTTTTGTCCCAGCAGATTACATTATACTTACATAGAATTACCCAGTTTGACATTCTGAATTTTAAAGTTGAGAAATCATTTAAAACATGTATTACAATAAAATTCACTTCAAAATTGAATCTTCAAACTAGTGATTTACCAGTGAACAAATGCGATGGTTGTGAAATGCACAAGCGGTGACCAACAATACAGAATCACACATATCTATGTCCTTATTGAGAATTGATATTCCTAACAGTCGGGCCAATAATACGTGGCTCGTTTGTTGACTTTTCGCATTTCTATTTAACTTGAAAAGTTATAGTTTACTTTTAAAATTTCTTGGCACATCACTCTATCTTGTATTGAAAGAGGACTATTATTGGCTTAAACCTTGTTATAGAGGGGAGGTTCATTAAATCTGTTTAGCATTCAGACTACCACAGGAGGACACCTTTTCCTACTGCACAATAAGACTAACTTTAATTTGTTTTCATACGTCTCCCTATGTGTTACTGAAAATGTCCAATTGTCCATCTCAGAACTTTGACTTTAGTTCTTTGAATAAATCAAATTGAGTATGTTGTTTGTCAAATGAACGGTCTCTCTATCTATTGAGAAGAGGTATTGAGCTTGGCTGTTAACTCATTGTCCCATACGGCCAGCCTGAATGCCTTCACATACAGAACGATGGAGATTTATGGAAATAAAAACACTTTTTATTATTTGTGAGTTTATTAAAAGTGTGATAAAACTACTAGCCATTTGGCGTGTGTTAGGAATGCCGTGAACAATGCTATTTTATAATACCGGGTATATAATCAGCTCGATAGCACAACAAAAGTTGGACTGAAATGACCCGCATCACACTAACTTTAGTCTTCAGCTTTGATACACAATAAAGCCCGGCTTTTATGCTTCGCCCAGGTATAGCTTTAATCAGGTAGCTTGCACAGCATCCATGCTCTAATTAAAAGGCAGTAAATAGCACATAATACCAGTCATACAAAAGGCCTGTTGATAAAGCCATCAGCTGCGATTGTTCCTTGATTCACCTAAAACGTTAAATCTGTGTGTATTAGCTATTGGACACTGCGGTTAATCCCTGACATCTACACACAAAAAACTGGAGGAGAAAATAACGGAAAAAATGAAAATGATGTTGATCAGTGTCTGAATTGAAGTGGCATGGATCACATCGATTGATGGTCGGATTATCTGTTGGCGTGACGGGAGGTTGGGGTCCATGTTACAATTGGACAGATAATTTCCATCAAATGGCATCTATCTGTGTGTATTCAGTTGTCTGTCCTTTAGTTCTTGGCTTCGTTTCTTAATAATCGTTAAGGTTAGGCATATTACTGGGATGCTTTTACGTTGTACCAGCTACCATTGTATTTGACAGCTCAACCGGTTGTCATTATGAATTGTTATTTTTTACTCAATTTATACATTGTTGAAATAGGATTTAGTAATTCTGATAAATTGGTCTCACATCATGAAGTTAGGGACAGTCTCTGTAGACATTGGTCTCACATCATGAAGTTAGGGACAGTCTCTGTAGACATTGGTCTCACATCATGGAAGTTAGGGACAGTCTCTGTAGACATTGGTCTCACATCTTGGGAGTTAAGGACAGTCTCTGTAGACATTGGTCTCACATCATGAAGTTAGGGACAGTCTCTGTAGACATTGGTCTCACATCATGAAGTTAGGGACAGTCTCTGTAGACATTGGTCTCACATTATGGAAGTTAGGGACAGTCTCTGTAGACATTGGTCTCACATCATGAAGTTAGGGACAGTCTCTGTAGACATTGGTCTCACATCATGAAGTTAGGGACAGTCTCTGTAGACATTGGTCTCACATTATGGAAGTTAGGGACAGTCTCTGTAGACATTGGTCTCACATTATGGAAGTTAGGGACAGTCTTTGTAGACATTGGTCTCACATCATGGAAGTTAGGGACAGTCTCTGTAGACATTGGTCTCACATCATGGAAGTTAGGGACAGTCTCTGTAGACATTGGTCTCACATCATGAAGTTAGGGACAGTCTCTGTAGACATTGGTCTCACATCATGGAAGTTAGGGACAGTCTCTGTAAATGTTGGTCTCACATTATGGAAGTTAGGGACAGTCTCTGTAGACATTGGTCCCACATCATGAAGTTAGGAACAGTCTCTGTAGACATTGGTCTCACATCATGGAAGTTAGGGACAGTCTCTGTAAATGTTGGTCTCACATTATGGAAGTTAGGGACAGTCTCTGTAGACATTGGTCTCACATCATGAAGTTAGGGACAGTCTCTGTAGACATTGGTCTCACATCTTGGGAGTTAGGGACAGTCTCTGTAGACATTGGTCTCATATCATGAAGTTAGGGACAGTCTCTGTAGACATTGGTCTCACATCTTGGGAGTTAGGAACAGTCTCTGTAGACATTGGTCTCACATCATGGAAGTTAGGGACAATTCTGTAGACATTGGTCTCACATCATGGAAGTTAGGGATAGTCTCTATAGACATTGGTCTCACATCTTGGGAGGTAGGGACAGTCTCTATAGACATTGGTCTCACATCATGGAAGTTAGGGATAGTCTCTGTAGACATTGGTCTCACATCATGGAAATTTGGGATTATTGGTCCCACACCATGAGAGCTAAGGTCTATAGATCCCACACCATGAGATCTAGGGTCTATAGATCTCACACCATGAGAGCTAGGGTCTATAGATCTCACACCATGAGAGCTAGGGTCTAAAGATCTCACACCATGAGAGCTAGGGTCTATAGATCCCACACCATGAGAGCTAGGGTCTATAGATCTCACACCATGAGAGCTAGGGTCTACAGATCTCACACCATGAGAGCTATTGTCTATAGATCTCACACCATGAGAGCTAGGGTCTATAGATCCCACACCATGAGAGCTAGGGTCTACAGATCTCACACCATGAGAGCTATTGTCTATAGATCCCACACCATGAGTGCTAGAGTCTATAGATCTCACACCATGAGTGCTAGAGTCTATAGATCTCACACCATGAGTGCTAGGGTCTATAGATCCCACACCATGAGAGCTAGGGTCTATAGATCTCACACCATGAGAGCTAGGGTCTATAGATCTCACACCATGAGAGCTAGGGTCTAAAGATCTCACACCATGAGAGCTAGGGTCTATAGATCCCACACCATGAGAGCTAGAGTCTATAGATCTCACACCATGAGAGCTAGGGTCTATAGATCTCACACCATGAGAGCTAGGGTCTATAGATCTCACACCATGAGTGCTAGGGTCTATAGATCTCACACCATGAGTGCTAGGGTCTATAGATCTCACACCATGAGAGCTAGGGTCTATAGATCCCACACCATGAGTGCTAGGGTCTATAGATCTCACACCATGAGTGCTAGGGTCTATAGATCTCACACCATGAGAGCTAGGGTCTATAGATCCCACACCATGAGTGCTAGGGTCTATAGATCTCACACCATGGGAACTTAGGAGAGTATTTGTAGATATTAACAACTGTTGACTGATAATCTATGAATGTTCTGTTAGCTGAAGGATATTGGTATTGTTTGGGATCCCATTGGACCTGTACCCCTTATTAGTTTAATCCATTCTTCTGCCCATAAATGTAATGAGGGAAGCGTGTCTTGGGGACTGTAGCCATTTACAGTACCATTCAGGATAATACAGGGCCTCACATCCCCAATGTTGTAGCCAATAGCCACTCCATACATTCTCCTCATCAAACAATGCCTTAATTTTTTTATCCAATCTTTTTATTTCCAAGAAGTTATCAAATAACATCTGATGAAAAAGTATTGATTGAATCGTACCATTGTTCACTTAGCAGTGGAACAAAACTCTGACTGCAATAAAAAAAACTGGAGTATGCCACTTGACGGTTAGGAGAAACATTTGATAACTAACCAAGCTGAATAGAGAATATCTTGATTCTGGACGGAATTCCTAAGCCATTGAAAATAATGGCCATTGTTGTTGGCACATGTAAGTCCTATATTTGACAACTGATCCCTGTTCTAGCACTCATTATTTTATCTTAAGGCAGGATATTGCTTGTTGAAATTTCCTGTACCACTTTAATCCAATATATATATAATATTTCACTCACCGAGAAAAAAATATAAAAAACTTAATGCCAACAAAAAGACAGGTCGGTTTGACTGGAAACAATAGGGGCCTGATTTCGCAGTAGAATGAGACAGAGAGTGTTTGGGCACTGATTCAATGAAGCATTAGTTCAAGAGTAAAGTAGAATTGTGTGGCTTACTGATTGTAATGTTGGTGAGGTGACCATTCATCACACACTCAGGCATTGTTCTATCAAAGTCAGGTAGTGTGCATTGTAAAATAACTGTAGCTGTACTGCAGCCAAATTGTGTGCTATGAATTAGCTATTGTTGTTTGTAACAAATCCACATCTTTGTTCTCTGTTTAATCATAAAAATAAATTAAAATTGCGCAGACAATTACAATATTATTCTTTGTTTTATGAAGCTTGCCCTTGATCTGGCACTCTGTAAATATCACAAGTTCGTAAGAAATTCACTGGAATAAATTGAAACTATGTACAATAGTATTATTCTTTAGGTACAAATTTCCTAATTTCAGTGTGTAGTATATAAATGCTCCATGTAATTAATTACTTCTCCTGTTGCATCTGTGACTTACTACTGTTTAAAATTACAATTTTTGCTCATTCAGCATTATACCTTTCTTAATTTTCCAACCCACAAAATTGACCCAAATCAATTTTCAAGCATGACCACCTGGGATTAGGTCAAAATAAGAAGTCATTTCTGTCCATTCAAGGATTTCTTTTCAAAATTTGCTAAGATACTTTAAAGGAGGACTGTATAAGCTTGTCTATCACTCTGCATGTCATCTTGGTTTGTCCATGTCTTGCCTATCAGTCTATCATCTTGTTGTGGACTTGGGATGAAAAACATTGGCTTATCCTTAAGACTAAGGGTCATCTAGGTTTCTAGATGTGTGTGTATGTGTTAGTATGGTTTTTCACTAAGTCTTTTGGTCACTTTGGCTTGTTGATGTTCGCTTGCCTATAAGTCCGTGAGTCACCATGATTTCTTGATCTGCTCCTGTGTGTCAGCTTGGCTAGCCCATAAGTCTGGAGGTCACCTTGGCTTGATAATCATCACATGTGTCACCTTGGCTTGCCTGCAAGTCTGGAGGTCACCTTGGCTTGATAATCATCACATGTGTCACTTTGGCTTGCCTGCAAGTCTGGAGGTCACCTTGGCTTGATGATCATCACATGTGTCACCTAGGCTTGCCTGTTAGTCTGGAGGTCACCTTGGCTTGATGATCATCAAGTGTGTCACCTTGGTTTGATTCATCAATTTGTGGGTCACCATAGTCCATCAGTCTGTTAGGTTGTACAGTAGAAGAAGCTGTATCATTTGTAACATAACCGCTGAAGATATTTTTCTGAACATTGTGTCTCATGGGTCTAATAGAACTGCAGAAATATCTCTTCGTCCTTGAGCCTTGATATAATACAGACAAGGACTTTTTTATGATATACTCTTGAAGGTGATAATTTTTATTTAGTTTGTGAAATGATTTCACTTTCAAGAGGAAGTGTAGCTTTCTATGCTATAAGGTAAGGTGATATTACTGCTCATTTACAGAGGCAGTGTCTTGTGTCTAGTTGTAAAAGACTTTTTCAATGGACTTTTCCTTGTACATCCACTTTTGAAGAAAATATACCCACTTTTTCCTTGACAGAAGCCTGCAAAAGCTTATTTCCCTATAGTATTATGTCTTTGGTCCAGGTGAGATAACTGCTGGACCAGGCATGTATCTCCATCATCAACCGGGAAGCTCAGCATCAGATGCAGTCCAGAGGCGTGATGATATGTGTTCCTCCTCCTCCTCCTTCTGTTTGTGTATGCTCAATTACGATCAATCAGCTTTGTAGGTCGGCCTACCCCTCTCAAACCCCCTGTCAGACAGATTGACACAACAATACCATATAGCCTGATTGGGCCCATTACAACTGTACATGTGGGTCAATCTCTGACCTGCATCTTGTATTTCTACACCTCCCAAGCGGCTAGCAACTCATTCAACTTCTATACTCTCTAATACACATTTAAATCTCACCTATTGCTTGTATGTACACTTCCTAAACCATTGTTCTTGCTGTCTTTTATAACTCATCATCTCTATTATAACTAACTCCTTCCTCTTTTTACTCTATTTCTGCTTGTCATAACTCTATGGTTCCCTATTCAATACTTTTCTTTCATTTTTTGCTCTATTCTAAAGAATAATGATAGAAATTCCTTACCAATCCCCTTTCTTCCATGAGGACTAATTAAGGTTGAACTTTGCTATGACTATGCCAGCCCTTTTGACCCTGTATCTTGGGAACTTCAACTTAACTCTGCCACCCTATACTGGCCACTTCAATTTTTTTCCACATAGGACTTACGACATTACAATTGTTCTTTCTCTGTATCTTGGACAAGGACTCTTACTAAATGTCATCAGCCCGCCCCCCACCCCCCCCCCCCACTTCCCACCCATCCTACCCACCCCCCACCCCCCAGGACAGAGAGAGATCCCTCCACAGCTACAGTAATTTTTTTCCCTTTCCTTATCCCCTGTGCTCCTCTTCCCTAACAGACAGGATGATAAATACCTTTCTCTGTCCCCCAGGGACTGCTCTAATATATAGTGAGTTCCTGCTGACTTCCTCATTACTGACAAACCAATGTTATTGTTATCACCCACTAATTGTCAGACTCGGCATCCGCACACATCTTATCCTTTGTGTGTGCCAAAAATCAAATTTCAATAGAAAGTGTTCACATTAAAAATAGATAGATGGAGTTGATGTTGGTGTTACAGTGTGGGAAGTAAGGACAGTCTTACCCAAGGGGAAATGTGGACATGTCTCTTAGTGAGGACAGCCTCATTCCAGGGGGAATATGTACCTGTCTCTTAGTGAGGACAGCCTCATTCCAGGGGGAATATGTACCTGTCTCTTAGTGAGGACAGCCTCATTCCAGGGGGAATATGTACCTGTCTCTTAGTGAGGACAGCCTCATTCCAGGGGGAATATGTACCTGTCTCTTAGTGAGGACAGCCTCATTCCAGGGGGAATATGTACCTGTCTCTTAGTGAGGACAGCCTCATTCCAGGGGGAATATGTACCTGTCTCTTAGTGAGGACAGCCTCAATCCAGGGGGAATATGTACCTGTCTCTTAGTGAGGACAGCCTCATTCCAGGGGGAATATGTACCTGTCTCTTATTGAGGACAGTATTACTACAACTTATTGAGGGTGGTGTACCAAGGTTGTTGAGGGTTGTTTGTTTCAGTTATTGAGGGTTGTATGTTTGGGTTATTGAGGGTTATGTGTTTGGGTTATTTAGGGTTGTATGTTTGGGTTATTGAGGGTTTTATGTTTGGGTTATTGAGGGTTATGTGTTTGGGTTATTTAGGGTTGTATGTTTGGGTTATTGAGGGTTGTGTGTTTAGGTAATTGAGGGTTGTATGTTTGGGTTATTGAGGGTTGTGTGTTTAGGTAATTGAGGGTTGTGGCGTTTAGGTCATTGAGGGTTGTGTGTTTTGTTATTGAGGGTTGTATGTTTGGGTTATTGAGGGTTATGTGTTTGGGTTATTGAGGGTTGTGTGTATGGGTTATTGAAGAATGTTTATTTAGGTTACTAGGGTTTGTAGGACAGACATGACAAATCTTTCTTAACTCTGTACAACTGGCTTTGTTTGACTTCCTCTTCCAGATTATAATAGGTTCTGCACTTACAGATTCCATAACAAATTAGGAACACATGTTGAAAGAGAATTAACAATTATCTGCCTAATTTACAGATTTCATCCCCTTTAAAGGATTCCTTGTGGCAAAGCATTATAGTAGAACCACCAGGCGGTATGAACATATGATAAAGACAATCTACCACTGTAATGGGGCCTCTGACTGTCGAGGGGCTAACAGTCTGCTTTATTACAAGTTAAAAATATGATTTCATGTGTTTTAAGTACAAAGGAATATGCAATTATCTTAAATATGTTGCTATCTGATAAGGAAACCTAAGGTCATGCTGGTTTTATTGAAATTGATGAGTAAATATTTGTCATTATCAATTTTTAAAAAAAGAAAATCTGAAAGATACAAAATATTTTGAAAATTCTTTCTTTTAAAACATCTTTCAGTAAAAAAAAAAAAAGGGCTTATTTTGGTTAAAGCTGTCTTTCTGAGGCTGTTTTATTGTCACCTTCATGTCTAATGTCTCGTACCCAACAAGTGCTAAATCGTGGCTGCCAATTGTGCATTGATTTACTACATATTTATACAAGACAACTGGATTTTCTTAGGCTATTAGGGATGATTGTGTATGGGTATGGAAGTGGGAGTCTAATGGAGGCTGAGTTATGTATTATTGTCATAGGCGCTGACTGATTTTAACTGCCTAAAATAACCCACTGTGTAAAGCACGCATGCTCGAGGGGTAAGCGCTGATTCACGCCCATATATGGTAATCATCCTGCACAAATTTTACACCCTATTCACCAATTAATAAATTTGATACATGAAGACAATAGAAGAAGTTTCTATGCAGATGCACAGGAGATTACCATTATTACTGGTTCAGAATGCCAATGAAGAGCTCGTAAATCAGGGGAAGTAATTAGACAATAGACAAAGAGAGAAAGTGATGTTATAGGCTGTCATTGTGTTGGAATCCCTCACTAGCAATCCCACTAATTGGACGAAATGCTGGCCATCACTAACCATTGTTGAAGCCATGCAGCATCAATTTCTTTGACATCCCTCATTCTGATTTGTTCTCCTTTTTTATCAGCCAATGTGTCTTGATTTGTCTTGAGATGTATACGTTGGGCTTTTCTTCATTTTTATGTGCTATTTCATAAGGTAGAATTCTGTGTAGATTTGGTACACTGTTGAGATCTTGTTCTTTGTTATTGGAATGTTGGATATGTAACAAGGCTTCATTTACAAATAATTATATAGTCAAATATACCTGAACTAGAAGAAAAAAAGAATTTAAAAATAAAAAAAGAAAGAGAGAAAAAATGCAATACCAAAGGAGCGTTGTTATTTATGTGAATCGGTGGATTAGATATCCTTTATTTTCTGCTTCATTGTGACACAGATGGGTCAAGGGTAGTCAAGTTAAAAACACATATATATAAAGACATTCGTATATAGTCGCCCAATTTTAACAATCTGCTTTTGATACAGGTGCTTCTATTGATTAAAACTTGTACTGAAAGGTACGTAGGGTAGGTGGGTAATTTTTAGGACCGGAAAAAAATTATAATTGCGTAAGTTGAGATTAATTCAAATAGGGCAATTAAAAATATCAAGTACCATCTCCTTTACGTTTGTAAATAAAAAAAAAAACTAGAAGAGTGTATTTTCTTTTCGGCTGATGCGGTATTCGTTGCCATGCTTGCAGTGTCATTGTTGGCCAAACAGATAGTAGGCTGGTAACACAATAATGTCCCAGGTATTGTTATCAACCTTTCATTGTGTCCCTCTCCATTTCAAATGTCCACATTTAAATTGTGTCTAAACATAGACCTCGCGTACCGTCAACTGTACACCCCTAAGTGGAGTGAAATGTAAAGTAAATTTACACAGGTATGCCACCGCGTCCAACATAGGGTTTCAGATAGTTCCTTTGTGATCCCCTCTCAATTAGGGGGTGGGCGTAGGCACAGAAAACAAAAACTTCCGTTCCATCTAAAAAGGGGGTGGTTTCAATAAATTACAACATTGCTAGGACAAGCTGCTCCTCGTATGCCGTCCTCAAGGTGTTGTTTATGGTTTTATTGTCTGTATAATTGCATGTTATCTATTTGTTTCCACAGAAACAATTCAATTATATTCTTAAGTGAAATGATGTAAGTGTAATCGCTGTATTCACATCACATACAATAGTTATTTAATATTCAATATGTCTATAATTTTAAAATAAGATTCATTCTTTTTTCTGACCAGCTTGGAGACTGTTTGTGTTGAAACTGTCTGTATTTTGAGGGCCTGTAAACAAGATCTCCAATCCAATTAAAAACTGTTTACCATTATTAAAAAGCATTTTCAAGTGTCACTTAGTATTGTAAAAGTTAATTTTCCAATTACAGCTGTTTTGACTGTATTTATTAAACAACATGGAACACAGATTGTGTGTTACGGCTATTGTTGTCTCATTACCGTGACAAATTTGACAAATTCTTTGAAAACAAGGAACAGAAGTGAGGTTATTACTGATTTGTGTTGAAAAGGAGAAGGCCACAATTAATGGTGCACCAATAACAATATATGTGTATTGGTTTTTAAATATTTTGCATTGTTAATTCTGTAATTATGATAGCATGATTACACTATTGTACTGACAGGTTAGTGAGCCTCATGTCTCCTCCCTTGACCCCCGAGGTATGGGAGAGAGAGAT